TAGTGGGAGGCTACCCCCCCAGGCTGGTGGTGCGGCCGTTCCACTAGTCTAATTATTTATTTTATTTTATTTTATTTGTTTCTGATTATATTTTGTTTTCTTGTATTTTATCGCTCTGCTGACCCTTGGGGTCCATTTTATTTTGGTATACCTTTTCTAGGTACGTTAGCCTGTGACCACGGAAATTGGCCGAGTCAAGTGATGGATTAGTACGGAGAGATTGAGACAGAAGGAGGTACTGGATAGAGAGACCGGGATGGTTTTTAATGTGAAGACAACAACAACAACATATACATGGTCTACACAACTACGATCTGGTCTAAATCCAGCTATTCCTTCGCTGATCTTTTGTTTCCCCTCCAACATGTCTCCCATTCTATTGTTTATCATCTTGCCAAAGAGTTTCCCCACTGTGCTCAGCAAGGTTATCCCTCTATAATTCCCCGGGTCAGTTTTATCCCCCTTTTTGAACAGGTTCACGACTGCTCCTTCTCTCCATCTCTTCGGCGCGTACTCGTGTTTCCATATCCAGTTGAATATCCGGACCAACATGTTAATCATCCCCCCGCCCCCCTGTTTCAAAAGCTCATTCACAATTCCATCACCCCTGCCGCTATTCTATTCTTGAGTTTCGCTACACAGTCCTCTACCTCTTCTCGTGTGAACTCTCCCTGCAACCCGTCTATATCACTACATTCGCACCGAGATCTTTCAACGTTTTCCTCTGCCCACGAGTTGATTTCCTTCTCAAACTCCGAGTCGAAGTTGTCGTTGGTGGTGGGTTCTTAAGTGGTGGCGCGTTCTGCATCCCAGCCTCGCCCGAATCTAAACTTTCTCTACAGTGGTGCGGGTGCCTACTGCTGTAGACCGACACAAAGAATGTTTTTTCGTTGGTGGAACAGGTCGGCGTGCTCTTTGGAGACGGGCCCATCGGCATCAAGCTCGGAGACAACCCTCTCAAGGCTTCGGGGGTCTGCAGAGTCTACGTCACGGAGGTGGGAAAGGATGGCGGCGTTTACCAAAAAAAAACATCGTGGTTCAAACTAGCAGGCGGCTACCGCACTTTTTGCCCACTGCCGTTAGGGAAATTGGCTGGGAAGGGCAAGCGTCATTTTAGGCCTCGTCGGGTAGTTTAGTGGGGGAAAGAAGCCCTCCCTTCCTGCGTTAATTGATGGCAACGTTGGTCCATTGGCTCTTGAAACTTGTGTGGGGTACTCAGCATCGGTCATTCGCGCCGTCGTATCAGCAGCTACGGCAGGACCCGCAGACGGGTAGTATTTCCAATCTTGGCGGTACTATTCGTAAGCGTGCATTGTGTGAGTCCCTTTGCGTGGAGATCTTCTTTACGGCTTAGTAGCTGGTGATACCACAATTCGCCGCTGCGAACTCAGACTCGTTTTTGCCTCCATCCACGAAGGCAGCAAACGCCAGATGCAGCATGAGAATGCACATCGCTGAGAGGCAAGGCGTGTGAGACTCGCGATCCGACGTTCCCAACAACGCCATAAACGCTGCTGCGTCTTCTGTGCGAAAAATTTAGGTGCTAACGGGATCGCAAGCGATACGCCAAGCAAACCTCCGCGCAGGGTTCGGGGTGGCCGCGGTGGGGGGCAAGCCTGCGGAAAGGCTTGAGCCGAAGGAGGTGGCGGAGCTCATCCGCTTGTCGCCTCGGCCCATGGAGATCGTCTTCAGGTGCGAGTCCCACCCCCGAGATGTTGGGCACATATTTCGATGTACGATTTTCAGGCCACAGGGTGCTAGTTTCACGCAGGGTTTACACCAGGAGAGATCGCATCCTCAAAGTTAGGCTTTTTCTTTGTGTATGGCGCAAATGTTCAGCCCTGCAGGCACGCCGAACGGGTTTGTTGCGTAAGCTGTGTGGTTTTCGCGAAGCAATGCTTAGATATCTAGTAGTGACCACGTCGTCTCGCCTTATCTAGACTTGTTGCCAATGTGGGTCCGCTGCTTCTGCCGACGCTGTTCGCATGCGGTTCTATTTCTCTCCTTCTGGTCTTAAAAGCGCGGGTGCATGACCTTTGTCGCGGTGACATTCGACCGCGCCTTGCGGGCGGACCAACTTCTGAGAATGGGGGCGATCTCACCGGCACCCAACGCCCTCTGTGTGACAATTTCGTGTCCGTGTTATCTTCTTTCGGTGTTGTTTTTTTGGCAGGGACCCCGAGTTGCTTGGTCGACGACTGCAAGCCGAGGTGGGCAGAGCGGAAGGCGGTTTTTAGCGAAACCGCAGCGATGCAAGCCTCGTTTGTAGCCAACATCTTGTGTAGCGTCCCGCGGACGAGGACAGGACGCTTGAGTGGCGGCAGAAGTTAGGTACAGCAGTACCTAGTGTTCTCCGATCGGATCCAAGCGCTGATGTTCACGCACGGGGAAGACAGCAAAGGGACTCACGGCAGTGCTATGGCCGTAACTTGACCTCATCATGTTTTTCTTTTGGCTGTTCCGTCGACCACCCAGGCAGACAGGAAAGCGGAGGCCGTGAAGCGGAGCAAGCGAAAGGCGGCCGCCGACGCGGCATCTCCGGAGACGGCGGCTCCGGACACGGCAGGTTCAGCAACAACGACGGCCGTTGACCCTCGCAGCGGCAGCGTCGGCAACGGCGGCGGCAGCGCCTCCTCGGGGGAGCTGAGGGTGACGCAGGTGGGCAAGAAGCCGGCGGTGTGCGGCACGAGGACTAAGGCGGGCGACTTGATCGAGTTCAGGTGCGGCGGCGGTTTTTCTTTTGGCCGACGGTATCCGCCCTTGTTGCGAGTCATAGAGGGCATCCAGCCTTTGCAAATGTTGCGATTGTCTCCTCTCGGTTCCCTTCAGTTTCGGATTTTGACTTTTCTTGGGGGCTGGTGGTTCTTCACTGGTGTTGTTTTGGGAGGCTTGCGCCCTGTACGTGGGCAGCGGTCAAGGGGGGTCGGCAGGCGGTACCGCGAGTGGGTGATAGGGGTGCCTCTGGATATTTCGATATTTCCTCATGTCCGTCTTCGTCTTGTCCCATTGTACCAGTACCATCCCCATGACCCCCTCTCTCCCTATCCTTCTTTCCGTTTGTGCACCCTTGGATTGCTGGAGCACGTAACAGCAGGGTTTGCCATCATTGTAGTTGCCTTAGTGTTACTTTTGGAAGACGTTGTTTTTTTTGTGTGCCTACACCGCAACATGGTGGAAATAGAGAAGTCGTCTTTCGGTGCAAAGTGAGGGTGTTGGCAAACTCAGTTTATCAGTTCTCTGCTTCTGCCTGCTTCTGCTGCTGCATGCGGCTGCTGATGCGGCTGCTGATCGAAATTCGCGGACCGAATTAATTCAGGTACTCCGCACGCTTGGCGAGCGATCTCTCGGTGGAGTTTGATTCCAGCGACCGCAGGGGGACGGGACTTCCATATGCGATCGTCCTGGGGAACGGCGATGTGAGAGTACAACCTCGACTTAAGTTTCCGACAGTTTGGGAGGATGCACTCGTGCCAAGGGGGGAAGCAGCTGGTAGGGAGTATACCACCCTGCTGTGCATTCACGGACCCCCCGTTGCCCCTTGCGATATTGCCCATCTTTGGTTTCACCGGAGTTCTAGCGTTTGTCATCGTCTGCTAGGTTTCGTCCACGCAGTGGTTGTTCTTGCGGAGCAGAAAACTTTGCTCTTCCTCTACTTTTTGCAGGTCATAAAAGGGTTGGATCTGTCACTGTTCGACATGTGCGTCGGCGAGCGGAGAAAGATAGAGATCCCTGCCCGCCTGGCTTACGGGAGGAAGGGGAGCAAGGCCTTCGGAGTGCCTCCGGATGACGGAACGGTGAGAGAAACACGCAACGTACCTGGGTATGCCCAACCAGCAGGAACATTTGTTTCGTGTGTGCAGGCCCGTTGTCCGTGTGGTTATCGTTCTTTCGGTCGTTCAGTCCATCCCATCACCCCCCCCCCCCCCCCCCCCCCCCCCCCCCCCCCCCCCCCCCCCCCCCCC